AGGTAAAAAAAAAAAAAAAACCACCCAAACCCACAGTAGACTGGTTAAACAAAATAACCAATAAAACAAAAAAGATAATTATTTATTAATTAGTTGTCTACTAATCAAGTTACCAGGCACTGTTGTAAACAATTTACATCAACAGCTCGTTTAATGTTTACAGTAACCCTGTAAGGATGGCACAGTATTTTCTGTTTCACAAATAAAACTGAATCACAGTGAAGTTAATTGACTAAGAGTTTCTTCTCTTAATCACACTATACTGTAAGGAGGAAATTGCTCTGTATGAAACACAGAAAGATAAAAAATGGAAATATGAAAGGTGAACAATTAGAGGATAGAATCAGAAGGTTTAGTGTGTGTGTGTGTGTGTGTATGCAGACATGCACACACATACATATTTTCTAGGAGAGATCAGAATGTGGAAGAAGCAATATTCAAAGAAATAGTGGCTGAGAATTTTCTGGAATTGATAAAATGCTTATATTCCCCGATTAAAGAACCATCCCCCTAATTTCCAAGCAGTATCCTCTTTCCCCACTTGTGTACACTGTTGTTAAACTACTGGACACAAACCGACAGAGAAGCTCTTAACTGCAACTTGAGGGAGCAGATTACGTGCCAAGGAGAAACAGGTGAGCCGATGGCCACTTCCCAGTAACAACAGCTAAGGCCAGAATATATTAGAATAGCGATGAGAGAAAATAAGTGTTGACTAGAATTCTCCATCTAGTCAAACTATTATATAGGAGTAAGCAAGAACTTAAGATATTTTCAGACAGAAAATTGAGTTTCCTGGTCATGTCTTATCACTTAAAGAACTGTAAACTATGTTTAGAGAGATGGAAATGAACCTCTCAGAAAAGAATGTCTCATAAGCAGTGTTGTGCAAATAACCTGTTGAACATGTTGAAATCGTGGATGAAAAAATAGGTGTGGGTGTCAGCTTTCAGTTTGCATGGCACTTTCACATTTATTCTCTAAATTTTTTTTTAATTTAGGTATCATTGATATACAGTCTTATAAAGGTTTCACATGAGCAACATTGTGGTTATACCTTCACCCATATTATCAGGTCCCTCCCCACACACCCCATTTCAGTTACTATCCATCAGCATAGTAAGATGTTATAGAGTCACTACTTGACTTCTCTGTGCTATACTGCCTTCCTCGTGACCCCCCTACATTATGTGTGCTAATAATCATAATGCCCCTTAATCCCCTTTTCCCTCCCTCCCCACACCTTTCACTTTGGTAACTTCTAGTCCCTTCTTGGGGTCTGTGAGTCTGCTGCTGTTTTGTTTCTTCAGTTTTGCTTCATTGTTAATACGCTACAAATGAGTGAAATCATATGGCACTTGTCTTTCTCCACCTGGCTTATTTCACCGAGCATAATACCCTCTAGCTCCATCCATGTCGTTGCAAATGGTAAGATTTGTTTTCTTATTATGACTGAATAATATTCCATGTGTATATGTACTACATCTTTATTCATCTACTGATGGCCACTTAGGCTACTTCCATATCTTGGCTATTGTAAATAGTGCTGTGATAAACATAGGAGTGCATATGTATTTTGAATCTGGGATCTTGTTTTCTTTGGGGAAATTCCAGGAGTAGAATTCCTGGGTCAAATGGTACTTCTATTTTTAGTTTGTTGAGGGACCTCCATATTGCTTTCCACAATGGTCGAACTAATTTAAATTCCCACCAACAGTGTAGGAGGGTTCCCCTTTCTCTACATCCTCACCAGCATTTGTTGTTCCTCGTCTTTTCAGTGTTGGCCATCCTAGCTGGTGTGAAGTGATACCTCATTATGGTTTAATTTGCATTTCCCTGATGATTAGCAATTTGGAGCATCTTTTCATGTGCCTGTTGGCCATCTGAATTTCTTCTTTGGAGAAGTGTCTGTTCATATCCTCTGCCCATTTTTTAACCAGGTTATTTGTTTTTTGGATGCTGAGGCATGTGAGTTCTTTATTTTGGATGTTAACCCCTTGTCAGATGTCATTTATGATTATATTCTCCCATACTGTAGGATGCCTTTTTGTTCTACTAATGGCGTTCTTTGCTGTACAGAAGCTTTTTAGCTTGATGTAGTCCCATCTATTTATTTTTGCTTTTGTTTCCCTTGCCCATGGAGATATGTTCAGGAAAAAATTGCTCTTGTTTATATTCAAGAGATTTTTACCTATGTTTTCTTCTAAGAGTTTTATGGTTTCATGACTTACATTCAGGTCTTTGATCCATTTTGAGTTTACTTTTGTGTATGGAGTTAGACAGTAATCCGGTTTCATT